GTCCCACAAGACAGTCCTACAAGAGCTACAAGAGTGTCCTGCAAGAGGCCCCACAACAGTGTCCCATAAGACTTTCCGACAAGAGTGTCCTACAAGAGAATTCCACAAGAGTGTCCGACAAGAGTGTCCCAGAGTGTCCTACAAGAGTGTCCTACAAGAGTGTCCCACAAGAGTGTCCTACAAGAGCGCCCCACAATAGTGACGCACAAGAGTGTCTCAGTCTCCCGCAAGAGTATCCTACAAGAGTGTTTCGCAAGAGTGACCTACAAGAGTGTCCCGCAAGAGTGAGTGTCATACAAGAGTGTCCCACAAGAGTGACAAACAAGAGTGTCCCACAAGAGTGTCCCGCAAGAGTGTCCCACAAGAATGCGGGGGCAAGAGTGTCCTACAAGAGTGCCCCAACAGTGTCCCACAAGAGTGTCCTACAAGAGTGCCCCGCCAGAGTATCCTACAAGAGTGTTCCGCAAGAGTGTCCCACAAGGTTGCCCTCAAGCTGCACAAGAGTGTCCCACAAAGGTTTCCGAAAATAATGCGTCCCACAAAAGGATCCTGCAAGAGTGTCTCCTACAAGATTGTCAAAAATTGTTTGGGTATTTGTTTTTGAGGGCATGTTTGGATTCGGGTTCGTGGGTTCCATCTTGTGTTCTTGCACGCCCAGCGTCAAACCGCTTGGCGGTGATGTTCTGACACGTCTCAGACAGTTTTGTATGGTTTTGGTGAAGTTCCGCTCCCGTTTTGAATCTTTGGTCATGTCAGTGTTTCGATGGGGCGTCGGCGTCGGCTATTTTCTGACGGTGCTCGCGGTCACATTTTTGATGCTGCTGGTCACGTTTTGGTCGCCCGGTTGGGTTTTGATGGTGTCCGGTCACATTTACGGAGATGTTTTGATGGTGTCCTGAAATGGGCACCTCGGATCATAGTTCGATGACCACCACTTCGAATTCAGAGGGCCCTCTTACTCTTACATGTTGTCACAGTGATGAAGCGCTCAATGATAAGCCCAAAGGCACCAGCAACCTCTCACATAAAGGATCTTGTTTGCGCAGGGTCCTGGTTTTC